TGAAAGAACTAGAGAGAAGCATAGACATTGAGGTGAAAACGACAACTGTTCTGCAAAAATCATAGACTGTTGTACACACCACCTTGTGAATAGTAAGATGGACAAAAGGAGAGAACTGGAAAAATATTTTCTATCCTAAGTTTCTCTTTTGCTTTGGTGATTCATCTTTGAATTAGTGCTGGATAGATAAATGTGCTTGAATAGAAATCAATGCTAATCACAGAAATGCTTGCATCCAACCTTGTTATTTGAAACAATAATAATAATGAGATAAACTGTTGTATCCACAGGGTAATTTTGGTTGTGAAGTGATTTTTTCCCTTGAATTTATGCACTTTATCCTTCTTGTTAAACTAAACTTCTCGTTTACTGGTATGACTATTGAAGAACTGGTTTGGAAAAGAAGCATTTATTCAAGCTTGTGATTCTCCGTTGATTGTTATACTGGTTGGTTTATGTCGGCATATGGCTCCTTGAATGGATGTTTCTGGTTTAATTTTGATGTTACCTGCCTGATAATGTCTGGCAGTGGAAGCCATCACCCATTGCTAAGATACCATAAAGTTATTCATTAGACAGCTTAGTCACTAGAGCCATCTGTCTTGCAATAGGTACCAAAAGTGCATTTACTGCACCAGAAGTAACTGTAGTGATACAAAAATCTAGTGGATAACACTCCAACATCCAAAGCTATGAAAGTCAGGTTGCAGTATCAGTGGAATACCACCACTCTCTGAGATGCAGGCATGTACTGTTGACGAGTCTCAAGTCGGACGAAATGAGCATCCCGGATATCATTGCTAGCCACTCCCAATCATATAGTATCAATATAAAAATCAAAAATGTCTAAGTATCTGTCTGCCAACCGGTAGTCAGACAAAATCAAGACTTCCGACGTTAAGACATCAAATTACCCTTAGTTAGGATGCTGGTTCCATAGTTGGGCACTCAGCATTGCTGTATTTAACGGTATAACTGATATAACAAGCATTTTATGGGGATCAGTATGTTTGAATGATAAGAAGTGTAAATTAGCCAATTATATGATCTATGAAACGTTATTGAAAAGCATGAAAGTATGAAAATTCGTCTGGAAGACAGAAAATCAATACCATGTAAGGGAAAGAAGTTGGATAGCTTCCTTTCTTTTACAAATTTCACGGCTTTCCATAAGGTTCGCCGAAACTGCAAGCGCAGAAGCATTCAGCAGGCAATCTTTCCTCTTTTCTGTCACCTGAAATAAAAAGCTTGCTAATTGCCTGATTTACCTGAAACATGAAATAAATGTGGATGAAGTCACCAAGTCTAGTGAGGAAAAGTCAAAAACAAGCCTCAAAGATTGGAGAGCACGAAACAACTACCATACTCATTCTGAGCTACATATTTCTCAACTCTCAAATAAAAGCTTGTTTGCAATGAATAGTCAGTGTCGATGAGCAATCGTATAATTGCATTTTTAAAGCATCATCAACCTTCCAGTTATAGTCATGCAATATTACTTTCATGAATGCAAAGAACCGTTAAGCAATTCATCTCTTCAGAAACTGGTGAAACGATATGGACATCTAAAAGTTTTCAGATTTTAAACTGGATTCTGTAATCCGATAGTAGATAGCTGATAAACAATAATCTCACCAATGCTATCAAACACGTTATTTTGAGTATGTCTAACATCTTCAAAATAAGGATGCCAAGAGTTTAGTCATAGATGAGGTTCATGTGCAAGTATGACAACTTTTCGAGCTGCATAGAGCGTTTATTCTGACAATAATGTCCATCTACTTATCTAAACGTTGGTGTGGATGTCTTTTCTCAGTCAAGACTCTCACTTTTCAACACTTCGAAACTTCAGATAGGTTGAGTTTGAACTGTGAGCACAATAGTTTTCTTTCTTACCTTATAGGCAGTTACTTGTGAAAGCTTGTGATCCAGCCATCTATCTTGACGTTGAAAGAAGCAACTTTCTCAAGGTTTAAGACATTCATCATCAAGAGGGCTACATCAAGATAGAGAATTTTCATCTAAATTTTCACATCAAGAATAAGTAGCATAATTAGCGGTTACCGAACATCATAAGTATATTCACCGTCATCTGATAATCTACCAAGTATTTATAATATTTGAAATCTTAGCCACTGATTACAAATAGATACTCTCAAGGATTAACAGAGAATATACATTAGTTAGTGGAAAAATTTATCTTCCAGAAATTCAGATCTTATTATTAAATGTTGACTTAGGACTACTGATGCCCTTTGGTAATAGTTGTAACAGTAATGTGTAATTGACACTAGAATATTTTCAAACAACAAGTGTCATTCAGGCTTATTAACGCTCCTGCTCCTACAATACAAAGAAGACTTCCATCGATTTCATGTTCTAGTCCACGTCCAACTATCACCTTGCTAATACTTTACCTTTTTCAGCTTTTCATGGTTTTCGGATATTTTTATATTATTCATCAGTCAAGCCGTAACACATCAGTAATTAAAGAGACTAGTTTAGGAATATGCCGTAAGGTGTTACATAAAGTGTCACTGAATGCTTCTGTTTGATTTTTCAGGGAGTAACGAGGCACAAATTCGTTATTATCTTCAAGAAATAAAATTTAATTATCATCTGTCAAAAAGTTGGTAATAGATATATAAATGTCCATGTCCATTCTCATCAAACGGTTGATTTGCATAAGGCGGCAAGTCAAATATACATAAGTTAGTGGCTTTATTGAAGTGAGAATCATTCTTCCGATCAGTATTCTACAGTTTTTATTTGTAAAATATTCTTCTATTCTTCGCAATTTCACATTTTCTAAATCCAAGAATAAGCAGTTTATTCATTACTTATCTTTTCCCTTTCTGAAATGCTCATTAAAGTGGCTGATCACTAATGAAGTGCAGTTCAGTTTTTGATCGTTGAACATTTTTACATATTTAGATCGACAAGCAAAAATGAAGAATGAGTCTTAGTGTGAATAACAAAGCTATAATTTATGTTAACAAGTTTACCTACTTATACCTTAAAAAGTAGTAAAACAAACGTTTCAAAGTTATTTGTGTGCATCCATGTAAACTCAATGATAAGGTTAATTGTCCCATGAACATACACGTTAAGTGAGCTTGTATGTTTGGTCGATGTTTCCAAAGTAAAGAACGGATAATGCAGTGACAAATATATGAATTTTGAAGTATTTGTTCGTAAACTACTCAATATAAAAGAATAATTTATCAGATAAACTGATAACATAAGCCTTTAAATGTAATGCTATCTACCAATAAAATGCAGATTTACTGCATTTCACTTGAGTGCAAGGGAAACTTATAATCCAGAATTATTATCATGGTAGGCACACAAGACTTATCGACTGCTTCGTATCAACTGACAGCAGAAAAAGTGTGGTAAAACTCAAGGTCTCGCAGCGTGACAACTAAAGCTTAAATAAAATCATTTAAGTTCAGTTACTGTTAAAGAGTGGTAAGTATAATACTGGTTGCTCATTTTTGATTGATCAATGTGTGGTGAAGCTTTTTCTGAACACAAATTACAAAATGGTTACTTAGAATGCAGCGTAAAAAGCCGAAATATCAAGTAGTCTTTAATGATGTTCAATCCGCCTTTAAATTTGTGTTTAGATAGCAATAAATTTCTAAGACAACAATAACAAGGATACGGATTGTATACTTTGGAATAGTAAAATAAGTGGTAGTGTAAGAGATAGTACGAGTGTTCAGAATTACAGGACGATGTAAACAGGTGTTCAGAGACAGACAAACTAGGTCAAAGCTAGGAAAACGACAGCAGATTTTTCTTCATCCTTCGGTTTTATGCAGCCTTATTATCCTTTTACAGGTTTTGACCTAATTTTTCTGTCTATCTGAACACATGTTTACTCTGCACTGCCATTCTGGATATCCGTATTATCCCTTGAAATTCTGCTAGTTTTATAAATCCTTATAGATTGACCGATGAGGAAGCAGAGATTTGAAATTATAAGCAACAGACTGTATGGAAATGATGGACAAGTTGTTTAGCTAAGTCTATAAAACATTCTTCTGGTCTATGATATGTGATAAGCGCTAAGCTATCAGAAGCCTCATGTACAATCAACTAGAAAACTCCAGTTAGTACAGATTTTTCACTACTTCTCATTTACATTTATAAATAGTCAAATTAGGCTTTTGCCTACAGTTTTCAGAAGGCAACTTATTCATAATCAAAATAGTTATTCAGCTATTGAAGACATCATGAGAATTGATCTACTCCCTATTATCATCCAACTTACAGTTATGTTCTCCACACCAATATAAGAAGTTGATAAGTGAAATAGTAAAATATGATTAGAATAAGTACAGTTTATTTAATGGCAATTTATGTAAAAAATAGTCGCATACAATATACCTCATTCATAATTTGCTCCTCTTCAGGGGATGATGTAGAAAAATAAATTGATTTTTATTGTGTTTGGTCCTTCAATTTTAACGGTACTCTTATTTAAAATGATTGTATAGTCCCACGCCAGGGCATCTCTATGCTGAGTCTCCTATTTTGGTGGTCATACTGTGAAATGATGGGCAGAATTTGATCGAAACTAAGGACTAGACAACGCGAAGTTGGTTATCCTGCGCTGATAGATTAATGTACACAATCCAGATTTACATAAGGTCAGTCACAGCCTGAATAGCTCAGTGGCAATAACTGTGACTTTAGCAATGAGTGGCACAAGTTGGAATCTCTGACGAGCCATTAGTTCGATCCAGGTTGCAGATACGCCTTTCTGACGAGTGCCAAAAGTACGAAACCTTGATCGAACAGGGCTTCCCGCCAATTGACTCCGTCCAGTTAACAATTACTCCTGTTTGTGTGACAGATGAACTTTTAGCCACATATGTATTGACATAAAAGGATGTGAAAACATCAAGGACATTCTTTTATAGTTTATAAGTTCTATCAAAATTTAAATTACTAACAAGATCTTTTACCTCCTACATTTTCTCTTCCTAAAGATTTTGATACAAATTTCAATCAGAGTTTAACACCACTGAATAAATCCATGATTAACTCAGCTGCTACATCGCCAATAGCAAACTGTAAATTACAAGATAACTTTTATGTGGCGAATTTTTCAGTTGTTGATAGTCCTTGTTCATTGATAAGTCGAAATGAGCGCTTGAACAGTAGACAATTTTCAAAGATTTCATCAATGTGCAATAGAGAAGTTCAAAAATTTCCAAATGATAAATATCAATCTGACAATAGACACATCAGTAATCAAAATTTGCACTATAACACTTTACAAAAGGGTGAAATGATCAATGGAGAAAACGAATCAATAAATATGCCGAAAAATCTTTTGAATTACGCTACAATCAACTAAGTTTATCTCATAACCAATGTTCTGGTGAAGGCTTAAACGATGAAATTCATTCTATATCCCCAGTAACATATTCTCCAATTGTATCACATTTTAGTCCAGTACCACTTATTCGATCAAATGAAATTATACCATCTTCTTCACTGCTACTATACAACACATGTTGTCATAATAGAAAGCTTGGAATTGAAATGAACTACTCTTTTCCACCGCTTTTGGTCCAATGCCTATTCTACGCAATTCTCAATCACCGAATACTTCAAGTGAATTATCATCTCCCATTCTGGGAGATGGGAATAAATTCAGAGGACGTTTACCAACATCGACTAATTTTTGTTATCATCAGCACGTTCAAAAACTTAACAACAGCAAACAAAATAAAAGAAAACCTCAAGAAGACACAATAAGCCAAATTGCCACTGACAATAAAATGAACCAATCAAGGGTTAAGCAAACTACTGATGATAAAAACATTGTTAACACTGAAAAGAATCTGAATTGTAACAATCAAGCAACAGAAACGCTTATGAATCAGACAGGTAATAAATATCATGTCTCTCAAACAGATTCATGTGATGGATGTAAATCTTTTCACCAACCTAACCATAGTTCTCTTTACTAAAAAATAACCTATATGCAACCAATAGATCAAATTTCGAAGTGTGTGTAGTTGATACTGATGGTGCTAATAATACCAATATTCGTAATGATAATAATCAGGATGATTTGGGTCAGTTTGATGCCAATCATGATTTTATCAATAATAATCCACAAGATATCACTAATAACAGTGATCATTGTTCAATGAACTACAGATTGGATAATCATAATTTGAGCCGAATGGTATACCCTTCTGAATCTGATCATTTATCATCCCCATTGATTAATAATAGACAAAATTCTCTGATTAGAAATAATCAGTCAAGTGGATTGAAAGGAAACTTAAAAATGAATAAAGTAAGTGAATGATTGATTCTAATAACTACATTGTTTCCAAACAAAATTGTTTACATTTATCAGTTCCAATTAAGCTAGAAAATATTCGAGCTAAAGTGGAGTTTATTGAAAAATGTTTATAGGTGAATCAATTTCTTACATAGTGAAGATCAGATTTTAATCAAGGTTTAGCTTCTTTCATTTCGAACAAATACTGATTCAGTAATGGATTGAACTAATAAGGAACATTATAGAAAAATTAATTTCCTGAAACGTTGATAGGAGACGGATTGTTTTCCTGAGATGGTATCAGCGTCCCATCATTTTCGGTGATGTCTTAATAATCATTTTATGCTTCTTGCTGGTATTCTCAATAAGCCTTATTAGTTACCGGATACTACTCACTGGTGAAGCCTTATCGGTCTTTCTGGCCTCTTTCACCCCATACTGCTCTTGATTGTTGCGAAATATCTTAGTCAGTTTAAGTTGCTTTCGTTCTGCATCATGGTTAGAGTCAGTCGAAAGGAGTCTTTTTGCATCAGTCAGTCTGGATGACTTCGTCGAAATCTCCATTTGCCAACCTTGAGATATAGGTAACCAACTGACTTTAGCACTGTTGCTATTTCAGACTGAATGTCACCTCGTGCTTTACTGGGAAGAGTGCAGTTATCTTGTTCAGATACATGGTTAGTTATTTCCCCTAGTGCACACTTCATATTCCAATCTTATAGTCAAGGAAACACGCACCGCTCCTGCATGTTTCCTTTGAGCACTAAAGTGAAAAGATACACGTGTCCATACTAATTTGTGATCATGATCAAAACAGGCATTCCAGAAAAAACAGGAATCATCCACCGGTCATGCTTAATGACGGCTCACAACAACATGATATATCTGTATTCGTCGTTGGTTTGATGTCAGCGGACACTATGTGAAACAGTGTCTTTCCTTTGTATTACGCTAACTTCAGTAGACAGGCATGTAGATGAAGATTACGAATAGGGATTAGCTAGTTTCATGAACCTTCTTTCTTCTTACAGATTCATTTAATCAGACAGCGCACAGATGGCCATTGACTGGTTTCCAGTCAAAAAGTGCTCATTCTACTAGTAAACCTAGTGATCTGATTACAGAAGCGAGCCTGTGGGAGCCAGCCATTAGGTCTCTGAATCCTAGTAAATTGAATTTCGTGCGTTCATCATACTAACCATGCGAGGTCAAGTGGATAATCACACTTTGGTCCTTTATACTTGTCTCTGAGAAGTGGTAAACATTCATGGCTCGAGATCCTGGAATTTCGGCAAGATATACCTGCTCTCCGGTTGGATACAGAGTAAGGGGGTCCAGTGCTTCAATATGAAATCAACAGCAAGGTTTTAAAAGACTAGGAATGATATTTTCCTCATACTGAATAATATTATTGGTGTCAGCAGAAAGGTCGATAAAGTTGTAAGAGCCTTTATGCCTGTATCAAAAAGTAAATGCGAGTAAGGAGGCATAGGTTAGTGAAGGGAGGTAACTTGAGTTCTGTATAACGATAGAGGCGTGCCTGTGCTTGGCACTGTCTGGCTACCTATGCAGTGGGAATAGTTTTTATCAGGTAGTTGGAAGAGAAATGAAATTTATTGTGGGTGACCACGTAGCCCAAAAAACATCTGCTTGAGGGTCATCGCACACAGCCATTTTAAGAGTGCTAGAATGAGGTTAGATTGGGCTCATGCCAGAAAAGGAATATCCTTGCCACTAACGCTGGAAGTTCACAAGACTGAAAGCAGTATGCTATTTTTAGGTCCGACCCTTTCTACTCTCTCCATCTTCCAAAAGAGGAGGCAATCTCATCTTGGAACTTCTGGCCGTCCAATAGGGACATCTTACTTCTGTCATGTAGCGTGCAACTAGCAGTGCTGCTTTTATCTCTGAACCGTATCACAATGCAGCAGTTAACGTTTTGATGGTAACCACTTTTTGTCTTACCGTTTTCCAACAGACCACCTTGTTATGGTTAAAATAAATTAATATTCTTTCAACCATTATAGATCTTTCAGTCATTATGACATGCGTGCCCAACTACCAGGGAGAGGTAGCAGGTCCCCATTTCTAAAAACACATGCATGCATATCACAAAACATATAACATTTATTTCACACTGAATGACTTGTAATTCTGTTATATAAACATCGCTGAACAAGGCAATCTAACACATATTTCCGACATTTTATTTCCGAACAGAATATCAAGCAAGAAACACTGAATATTTCTGAGTTCAGCCAAGCTGAGGTTGATATGAGCATGGCCTAAATCTGTAGTCAACTTTCATTTAACACATGATATTTCTGATACTATTCAGTCAACCTTTAATCGTAATTTACCTAGACTAGACAAACTATTCGGTTTAGAAGTTTGACTATTAATGATTGGGCATAACTAATCAATAAAAACTGACTGACAAAATCAGCGTACAACCTCGCGAAAGTGCTTTGTCTAAAGTTATCACACTTCACTGTAGTGTACAGGAAACACTTAGATAGTAAGACGGTGAAAAAGTTGTGTCAGAAAATAAACAGTTTAAAGATAACGGTTAGTGAGAATATTCAAGCTCTAGAATACGTCAGGAAGTGAATATATCTGCCCTATTGTGACCAATTTTCAGCCATGGCACCAAGAGTCCTAAACCACTTATTCCTTTCGTCTTGAGAACCTCGACCAAGCAGTCAACATAGTGCAACACTGCTCAGGTCAACAGTCAGAGAATTCGTCGATTTGTGACATTTATTAGTCTGCCACCTTGAACCCTCTTTCAGCATGTTGAGGTAAGTAGTGGCTCGGCATGCGCAGTACATGTCCAAGTCATTTCAGCCGACCAGCGTTCACAACCTCGTCAGTCGACTTCATCTTCTTGCCTATTACACTTCGTCTGACCTCAACATTGTTCACACGATGATTCCAGCAAACACAAGCCATGTTACGAAGAAACTTTTTGATCAAAGCCTAGTAACCGCTTCTTATCGTCTCCTTTTTACTGTCATATCTCCCAGTCGTATAACAGAACCGAACAAACTGGAGCCCAGTATACTCACTCCACGATGGGTAGTCGGATATCTCGCCAGTTGGTGACATTGATGACACAAGTTGGGAGGTACCAAATGGGTCTTCTTTATCCGAGCTGAGGTTTCGTCACCCACCAACCTGTTCAGGTTGATGCAACCTTCGAAGTAAGTGAAGTAGTGGACACATTCAACCACTTCGCTCCTTATCATTAGTTTGGGGTTACCTGCAGCAGATCAGTTGTGTAGCACCACCTTACATCTGAAAGCTCCCAATGAAGCGCATCCCAAACACACTCAAATTTCCGCTGAAGGCGTCCAGAAGACCCTGCATTTTGTCAGCATATTCATCTAGGAGGATAATATCGTCTGCATTATCCAAGCCAACCATATACCATTCAGGGGGTAGGTCAATCTCTGTAAAGTCAGCTGTACCTAAGGTTATGTTCAGTAGTACTTGTGTGACGAAGTAAAGTAGAGACGATGACAGTGGACATCCCCGGCGGACACCTAGTTGTCGTCAATTCTGATGGCATCTCTTCATAAAACCTTGCGTGGCTGCATGAGTTCTAGTAGGTACCTTTGATTAGCGTTACGTTCTTGATTGGTACTTTCAAAATGTCTGACAGTGCAATAACATCTCACGGTAGACAGAATGATATACCGCCTTCAGGTCAAGAAATATGGCAAGTGCCGTTCGCTGGTATGTTTATGTTCCAGAACTTGTCAGAAGGTGGATATATGATTGATGCATCCTCATCCAGTCCAAAACCTGCCTGGTTTTCTTAAGTTTGGTGTTCTCGGGCTACAACTGGACGTCAGATATCTGTAGAGCCTAAGATCTTGGACACAATATTTATCAAACTAATTCCCCAATGGTCATCGCAAGAATATTTCTTCGCCTTCTCATAGACTAAGATGACCAGTGAAGTACACCAGTCTCATGGCACTACCTCTAATTCCTATATGCCCATCACGTAGTACCTACGTCACGTTAATTAGCGATTTCCTACCTCCATCCTTAGGAAATTCAGGTGATAAATTGTCAGGTCCCGCTGCTTTGCAATTATAAAACATGATCAGTAAATCTTCAATTCACTCTGTGTGTAAAGTGTTTGTAACCACTATTTTGATTTCATGATTCCATTGTATATATGAAATAACAGACAGTGAATTTAGCTTGATAAACTAACTAACATTCCTTAATTACTTTACAAAAACTGACATTATAGTCTTTTCTTCTTACTACTGGCCTAATTTCTATACTTCCAGTCAGTATCACCACATGTGTTGTCGATGATAAAAGTTATCGCTTCCTAGCCATGGATTTACATTCAACATCATTTGGCCACTACAGAGAAACTCATTTTATGCTGTCAATTCCTGATTTTTGATAAATAACGCTACCAAGATATGAGATTTTTCATCTTAGTGCACATCGGTAGGTGTTGGTTGGACTGAGGCGCTGACAGGGACCCCTGCTCGACCTAGTTGTTGGGGTTGTCAGCACTTGCCAGCATGGTGTATTGACAAACTTCAAATAATTAACGTCTCATCTGCCAATCGATAGGATTCGGTTAAGACTCAGGACTGGATGACATAAAATTGCTTACTCTCCAAAAAGAAGTCCTTGAATTCAATCTAGTCCTACAAAAGATAGCTTAGTGGAAACGTCTGTGATTGCAACACTTGATGAAGTGGGTTCGATGCTCAGAGGAGAAATAAATTCTGTCGAGGTTGAAGATACACCTCCCTGGTGATTGCCAACAAACATGTAACTCAGGTTTAGGGCTTCTTACCGATCACCTCCGTTTTGTTTGGCGGCAGTCACCAGCAGGGTACATTGCTAAAAAATACCGATTAAAAACTTGAAGGATTCAAGCCTATTTAATGCATTCCATACTACTGTGCTAATCAGCATTGGGTTATTATACATAGTAGTGCAAAGTAGCTTGTACCCTAAATTGCTCACTGTTG